TCTAGTTCAGTTCTAGTTCAGTTCTAGTTCAGTTCTAGTTCAGTTCTAGTTCAGTTCTAGTTCAGTTCTAGTTCAGTTCTAGTTCAGTTCTAGTTCAGTTCTAGTTCAGTTCTAGTTCAGTTCTAGTTCAGTTCTAGTTCAGTTCTAGTTCAGTTCTAGTTCAGTTCTAGTTCAGTTCTAGTTCAGTTCTAGTTCAGTTCTAGTTCAGTTCTAGTTTCAGTTCTAGTTTCAGTTCTAGTTCAGTTCAGTTCATTTTCTAGTTCAGTCTATTCAGATTCTAGTTTCAGTTTCTAGTTCGTTCTAGTTAAGTTCTAGTTCAAGTTCTATTCAGTTCTAGTTCAGTTTAGTGTCAGTTCTATTTCAGTTCTAGTTCAGTTCTAGTTCCAGTTTCATTTTCTAGTTCAGTTCTAGGTCAGTTTCGAGTTCAGTTCTAGTTCAGTTCTAGTTCAGTTCAGTATTCAGTTCTAGTTCAGTTCTAGTTCAGTTCTAGTTCAGTTCTAGTTCAGTTCTAGTTCAGTTCTAGTTCAGTTCTAGTTCAGTTCTAGTTCAGTTCTCGTTCAGTTTCTAGTTCAGTTCTAGTTCAGTTCTAGTTCAGTTCTAGTTCAGTTCTAGTTCAGTTCTAGTTCAGTTCTATTATCAGTTCTAGTTCAGTTCTAGTTCAGTTCTAGTTCAGTTCTAGTTTCTAGTTCAGTTCTAGTTCAGTTTAGTTCAGTTCAGTTCTAGTTCTAGTTCAGTTCTAGTTCAGTTCTAGTTCAGTTCTAGTTCAGTTCTAGTTCAGTTCTAGTTCAGTTCTAGTTCAGTTCTAGTTCAGTTCTAGTTCAGTTCTAGTTCAGTTCTAGTTCAGTTCTAGTTCAGTTCTAGTTCAGTTCTAGTTCAGTTCTAGTTCAGTTCTAGGTCAAATTAACCCCTTCTGCTACACCTCTGTTTTCTTACTCATGAAAATGCAAAAAAAAATTGTTTATATTTTTTGTTGTTTTACGATCGTTGAGGAATAAAAAAACTTTGATTTTTTGCATAATAATAAAATGTGTTGTTGTTTTTGTAATTTTAAAACATTTTGCCTCATTTGTTTATGTTCCCTATAACTTTTACAATTAACTCACACAAACTTGAATATCTTAAACGAAAATCTACACTACTCAACATTTTGTATCTGAATGATCAGAACAATCTGAGAGAATACATTTCAAGAAAGCAAAAAAACTAGAAACAGTAGCAGTACAAAAACATAAATACGAAAAAATAGCTGTGCGTTAAAAATAGATCAACGAAAAGAATACTATAAAATTTCAGAGAATCAAAAAAACACAAATCGAATTTTAGAGTGCAAAATTTAAATATTTCTAATACTAAATCCGAGAGATGGGAAAACAGTTTCGCAGTACACTATCAAATAAACTATAATATATTTAATATTATTTTGTTTTAAATTTTATAGGTAATTTTTATTTGTATATTTTTTATTATTTTTATAAATTGAGAATCTCTTTTAAAGTATGAAGTCATACTAAGTAAAATAATGTATTTTCACGTTTGTGTAAAACACACCAGACATACACAGTTATTTGAGTGAATCTATCGAGCCGTTTTGATCGAACGGGTTGTATATTTTTTTGTCGGTTTTTAGAGATTTAAACAAAAAGGCCGGTTAGATGTACGAGAGCAACGAAAGTGCGAGCATTTGAAGAAGAAATAATAATAATTTTGTTTTACTATAAACAAATTAAACGAATAAAACGAATATTTTAAATAACAACTAGTGAAACGAATTTTTAAAAACTTGAAAATTTAAATGTAAATAAATTTATTAAAAATAACCTTAATGTTTTGTAATTGTAGTGAAATAAAATTGAAATGATATAATTTTTTATTTTAAAACTTTGTGTTAAAATGCTTGAAACACCTGTTGGAGAAATTAGCAACGAAATTTTTATATAATAAAAAAATTAATGTGTTTAAAATATAATAATAAAACATGTTAATTAAATTTTCAATGAATTTGCGAAAATTTATTTATTTAATTGCTAATTAGAGTGACCAGATGCGAACAAAAAATGAGAATGAACAGATAAAATAAATAAACAGTGTTTAAAAAATATATATTATTCAAATTTAAAGCAAAATAGGGTGACCAGGTGTGATTGAAAATTGAAAATTTAAGTAAAATCCAAGCTATGGAGTAGACCAAGACTAGACTTAAGTTCAGACTATAGAGTAGGTTATATTCCAGACTGACCAGATGTGATTGAAAATTAAAAATTTAAGTAAAATCCAAGCTATGGAGTAGACCAAGACTAGACTTAAGTTCAGACTATAGAGTAGGTTATATTCCAGACTGAAGACAAGGTTATAGTTCAAACTAAAGACTGGACTATGATCATGACGCTAAACTAGACTATAGACTAGTTTATAGTCCAGACTATAGAAAAGGTTATAGTTCAGTCCATATTCCTGACTATTTTCTGGACTAAAGTCCAGACTATAGACTAACAATAAACCAGAAAAAAAAAACTAGAGAACAGTCACGACTAGATTATAGTCCAGACTATAGTTATGATTGTAGTTCAGACTATAGACTAGACTATAGTCTAGACTATAGACTAGACTATAGACTAGACTATAGACTAGACTATAGACTAGACTATAGACTAGACTATAGACTAGACTATAGATTAGACTATAGACTAGATTATAAACTAGACTCTAGACTAGATTATATAGACTAGACTATAGACTAGACTATAGACTAGACTATAGACTAGACTATAGACTAGACTATAGACTAGACTATAGACTAGACTATAGACTAGACTATAGACTAGATTATAGACTAGACTATAGACTAGACTATAGACTAGACTATAGACTAGACAATAGACTAGACAATAGACTAGACAATAGACTAGACAATAGACTAGACAATAGACTAGACTATAGACTAGACTATAGACTAGACTATAGACTATACCATAGACTATACTATAGACTATACTATAGACTAGACTATAGACTAGACTATAGACTAGACTATAGACTAGACTATAGACTAGACTATAGACTAGACTAGACTAGACTAGACTAGACTATAGACTAGACTATAGACTAGACTATAGACTAGACTATAGACTAGACTATAGACTAGACTATAGACTAGACTATAGACTAGACTATAGACTAGACTATAGACTAGACTATAGACTAGACTATAGACTAGACTATAGACTAGACTATAGACTAGACTATAGACTAGACTATAGACTAGACTATAGACTAGACTATAGACTAGACTATAGACTAGACTATAGACTAGACTATAGACTAGACTATAGACTAGACTATAGACTAGACTATAGACTAGACTATAGACTAGACTATAGACTAGACTATAGACTAGACTATAGACTAGACTATAGACTAGACTATAGACTAGACTATAGACTAGACTATAGACTAGACTATAGACTAGACTATAGACTAGACTATAGACTAGACTATAGACTAGACTATAGACTAGACTATAGACTAGACTATAGACTAGACTATAGACTAGACTATAGACTAGACTATAGACTAGACTATAGACTAGACTATAGACTAGACTATAGACTACTATAGACTAGACATAGACTAGACTATAGACTAGACTATAGACTAGACTATAGACTAGACTATAGACTAGACTATAGACTAGACTATAGACTAGACTATAGACTAGACTATAGACTAGACTATAGACTAGACTATAGACTAGACTATAGACTAGACTATAGACTAGACTATAGACTAGACTATAGACTAGACTATAGACTAGACTATAGACTAGACTATAGACTAGACTATAGACTAGACTATAGACTAGACTATAGACTAGACTATAGACTAGACTATAGACTAGACTATAGACTAGACTATAGACTAGACTATAGACTAGACTATAGACTAGACTATAGACTAGACTATAGACTAGACTATAGACTAGACTATAGACTAGACTATAGACTAGACTATAGACTAGACTATAGACTAGACTATAGACTAGACTATAGACTAGACTATAGACTAGACTATAGACTAGACTATAGACTAGACTATAGACTAGACTATAGACTAGACTATAGACTAGACTATAGACTAGACAATAGACTAGACTATAGACTAGACTATAGACTAGACTATAGACTAGACTATAGACTAGACAATAGACTAGACTATAGACTAGACTATAGACTAGACAATAGACTAGACTATAGACTAGACTATAGACTAGACTATAGACTAGACTATAGATTAGACTATAGACTAGACTATAGACTAGACTATAGACTAGACTATAGCCTAGACTATAGACTAGACTATAGACTATACTATAGACTAGACTATAGACTAAACTATAGACTAGACTATAGACAAGACTATAGACTAGACTATACACTAGACAATAGGCTAGACTAGACTATTTCGGCTTTTTTTCGTACTTATAATAAACTTTTTTTATAATAAACTCTCTTGATAAGTAGTCCACCTTATCAAAAAGGTTTATAAGTTGGCATAAGTATGGGAATGCCATGGGGGTAACACGGTATTTTTTGATATAGTACTGAATTTTCCATGCCGATATACGATCACAAACAATATTCATTTCATAATAAGTATTCAAAATTACCTTTATTAAGATTCTATTTAGAAAACTTTTGATAATAGATGTGACTCCTTTTAGTTTAGCCCTATACGCATATGTATTATTTTCTTTAAGTCCCCCATGTTGAAGAAATTACTCACGATGTGGACATGACTTTTCCAAATATTACAATTGATTGATCCATATCTGTAGAATATTTCTAAAGAGCAAAATGAGTTTCTTCTCCCGTCATGATTATGGGTAAAAATATTAAATAAAAATATTTTTTTTTTTTGAAGTTCAAAATTGTATGAAATGATAAGATAACCGATTATAATCTAATTTCTATGATTTGTTTTTTAAAGATTGTAATTTATCGCAATTCACTGATAACTTATACACAGAATAAATTGGTCACTTGCCGCTAAAGAATAAACATGCATAAAACTCACTTAGCTGATAAAATGTTCAGTAGTTTTTCTCAAATCATACAAATGAAAACACTCGCCATGACCAGAGAAAGTTTAGGCGTGTTAAGTATTCTCTTAACAATATGCTTAACATGGCAAGGATCACAAGTAAATGGAGCCAACATTTTGGGTATCTTCACCAGCCACAGTACCTCACATTTGATTGTACACATGTCGGTGGCAAAAGTTCTGGCAGAAAGAGGACACAATGTAACCATAGTTGCGTCGCAAGAACCCAAAGTTAAGCATGATAAAATAAACATGATCATCATACCACCCAGCGCAGAAGTGGAGGAGAAGATTGGTAAAGTCATGAAAGAAAAGGTTACACAAAAAACATCCTTTTTTACTTATGTAGTAAATTTCTTTGATTCCGTAAAACCCATGATCGATATGCAGGCTGATATGCTAAAAGATCCTCGCTTTACAGTGCTCTACGAAAATCCTGATACGAAATTTGATTTAGTTATAATGGGTTATTTCATGAACTCTTTTGTTTTTGGTATGGGTGCCAGATTTAAAGCGCCACTTGCCATTAGTTGGATGGGACCACCAATGTTAATAAGTGATATTTTTGTGGGTAATCCGAGTGAAGTGTCATATGTACCTGATATGAATATGTCTATTAAAGTTAATAAAAAAATGACATTCTTACAACGTCTTCAGAATTTATTTATGAATATGTTTTTCAGATTGATTAAACAAATGTTGGATGTTCGTATGCGTCATTTGTACAGGTAAATGAGAGATTTAATATTTTTAATGTTAAAGATTGTTTCTAATTAGTGTTTTTCATTTACAGTGAACTGTACCCTACTGACGGTTCTTTTCCCACTTTGAGTGATATGGAAAAGAATGTTTCTTTGGTATTCTGCAACAGTCATTTTACTGAAGGTTCTGTTAGACCCAATGTTCCAGCCGTTGTTGAAATTGGTGGTATTCAGGTTAAGAATAAACCTGAACCCTTGCCACAGGTGAGTGTCTTTGAATCAAATTTTCACAAAAAGTGATCTTAAGACTCAATATCAATCTTTCAGTTAACTTGGTTTCACTCCATTATTTTCAGTTCACCTATTTCTATGAATTATCTTTTGAGAATTCTTTTAATATTTTATTATGATAATTTTTTAGGACATCGCTAAATTCCTTGATTCTGCCAATGAAACCGGAGCCATACTCTTTAGTTTGGGTTCCAATCTAAAAGGATCCAGCATTAAACCCGAAACTACCACTTATATTTTTAATGTCTTATCAAAACTGCAGCAGAAAGTTATTTGGAAATGGGAAGACTTAAATAAAACACCTGGAAAATCGCCCAACATTCTATACAAAAAATGGATGCCACAAGATGATATTTTGGCACATCCTAATATCAAGTTGTTTATCACTCATGCCGGTAAAGGCGGTGTAGCAGAAGCTCAATATCATGGTGTTCCCATGGTCGCTTTACCCGTATTTGCCGACCAACATGTCAATGCTAAGAAATTAGTAAATGCTGGTTATGGTCAAGATTTAGATCTGCTAAAATTAACTGAAGAATCATTTAATATCACCATCGTTGAAGTTCTCAGTAATCCACAGTACAAATTAAATGTACAAACATTTTCAAAACTTTATCGTGATCGTCCCCTAACTGCACGGGAAAGTGTTGCCTTTTGGACAGAATATGTGATACGTCATCATGGTGCTGCCCATATGCAAAGCCCTTTGGTTCATATGACAACCATAGAAAGTTTAAATTTAGATATTTATTTAATAATATTAATAATATTCTATATCGTTTATAGATTAATGAAACTTGTAGTGTTATTTGTAGTTTGTAAAGTCTGTAAAAAGTGTTCTAAAACTAGTATTAGGAAAAGCAAGAAAACCAAAAAGGTTAAATCACAATAAAATTGTAATTAAGTAGTTTCTTCATCTTATTATTAAAATTTTTAATAAAATAATTATATTTATTATAACAAATATTTATTTTATAAATCAGCGGTATTTACTTGATGGCTTAAAAACATAAAATTTATTAGTCCCTGATATGGGTTAGCTTTAAAAGATAATGTATATTTAATTACCGATTAGTGTTTCTGGGGGATGGAATACTTCTTATAACATCGCTCCAGAGATGTTTGGATCTAATTTCAGCGAACGGCAGGGAAAGTTTTGCAGTGTCTTCTTCATTCTTGGTAATCAGGCTTCAGTATAGTCGAATGTGCGCTCTCGTAAAGTACATCTATCCTCAAGTGGTTCTACCAAGACATTTGTAAACATATCTTCATTGATATGCTTCGATATGGAAAAATGAAATACAACATGTGCGGTATCGGACAGTCGAAAGACAGGTACACAGATGCAAGGCATTTGTGTACTGTTACCCCATATCGTATGATGGGCGATTGCGTCTGTGTCAATAAACCCAGGAGAGCGATTTTTATTTACTGCACTAATTTCTCTGAACTAATTTTACCTGTGTATGCATGATCTAATATTAACTCTGCCTTTTGTATAAGACTATACATTCAGTCCATACATGCTGACGTTACGGGTCCTCGGATCTTGGATCTTAATGTCAAGCGGAGGGATAGCGCAATCGAGGCTTTGTATCTGTCTGGGTAGTAGGCGATGGAAACATTGGCGTCTTGTGCATCAGATGATGGAAGAACCCCTTCGTCTACTACCGGATCCAGACTCTAAAATAGATCTCCAAGCAAGTCCGAGCTTGATTGGGTATCCATTCTTTCCTCAGGATTACTGTGATCGTTCACTTTTCCGCCGTCCTATCAAATCCATAGTATATTCTGCCTTGCTTCTACCGGAGTGGAGCCAAAGATTTCTTATTAAGGACCACAACCGCTTACCTGTGCTCACCTTTAGGAACGGAGACCTTGACCACCTTCCTATTGTGGGTAGGGAGATCAGGGTTTCCTATTTGAATATGGGCCAGTAGCGCCTCTGGGTCGTGTGGTTTCGCAGGAATAACTGTCACTGATCTCGGTCTAAGAGATATTTTATTAAAGACAGCATCGTAATTTTGCGGAGATAGACCAGGATTATCCTTGAAGATCTTCTAGAACACATACAGCATTTTTTGATGAACTATCAGCAACTTTTCCACGATAGAATCTATTGATTACTTTGGTTTCTTGCTTCGGAAGTCTAGTATTCGGCTGGGTGGATTGCTGAAAGAGTTGTAGCTCTTCCAATCGACTGTTCAATCTCTCCAGTGAACGCGGGAAATACTGCTTGGTTCGTATTGCCCAAAATCATGGTGTTTTCTGGCGTACCAGCGTAGGTTTGAGCAGCTACTTAGGTGCTTGGTATGACATCCACGGCAAACTCGCTGCTATAAGTCGGACTACCACCAGAGGGCAGGATAGTTGAATGTTTGCATTTCGTCAGCTTATATTTCTCCAGCTGGTATCTTATAATTGTTGGGCTACATGAGTTAGGCTACGATTACAATCAATCCGTACTCTTGCAATGGAGTGGAGCGACCAGTCTTCTTTAACCATTGACTAGCCATTCAGGTTCTCGGCACAGCTACCAGCTAGCTAGGGGATTTAGGGCATTTACGGAGGTATAAAGTTTTGGTTCGAGGTTTACCCTTTTTCTTACTAATCAATTAACAGAGGGGTAAATTAAATATCGGATAATTACACCAAAAACTGGTGATATGAATCACTTTGTCGTTGCCCTATGTATATTTTTTTTCGACCTCATTGTAGAAATGACTCACGCTGTGGACTTGACATCTATAGTTATACATTTTTTAATTATAATTGATTAATCCCTGTTAGTCTCTAGAATATAACTTGACTAAAATTATCTAACATAACCACGCTTTTTAAAAATAAACTAAACCATAACCTTCCCTAAAATGTAAAGTGATGTTTTCTCTAGTCATGATTATTGTTAAAAATATAAAATAAAAATAGTTCATAAAATGTTGATAACAATTGAATGGATTTGTGCAGGAAAGCAGGTAACTTTTATCATAATTTTGAAAGAATAATTAAATCATCAGTGTTGCCAAAATTTAGAAGTCTTTGATTTATATGAAATTATCTTTTTCATGATAAAATGCAATTAAAATATAAATAAAATGTGAAGAACCCAATCAGTTGGGGCTTCGAAAATATGTCTCGCTTATTTATTTGAAGACTGACATACCAATAATTTTTAAAACTGACATTTTTAGTAATATTTAACTATGTATATACTATATAGGAATTTTTTTGTGTGCGAATATTTTCTAATACTCAGTTTAAAAATCGGATATGTAATAACATTTTCTTAATATTTTGGAACTAGTTCGCTAAAGTTACTTATAAATGTTACTTAGAACCTTATGGCAACCCTGTTGATTTTATAAGCTATTGATGAAATAGTCCAAAAAATTTCAAACGATTTAAAACGCACAAACGATAAGATAACCGATTATCAACCTTTCAAATTTCTAATATTTATTTTATGAAATCGGTGAAAAAATATTGTTTATCGTAATGTTTGTAACATTTTAATTTGAAATTTTGTTGACGACAGTCCAAGGAATTAAAATATTATGAAAATGTTTACTATTACGGCTTCCTGGCTTTTTATATATCAATTATTTTAGACTTTTCATATTAGAGTTGATTTCATTTACTTCTTCAATTGGTCGACTTTGTTTAAGGTGATCACATATCAAAATACCAAGTATAAATCGGTTCATCCACCCTTTTCCTCTAAATACCAACAAAATGTCACCTTTTATAATTCCTTCTGTAATAGTACTTTAATAGATTCTGTAGTACTTACATCGAGTATATAACTCTTGATGTATACTCTTCATTTTAGAAATGACGTCTGTCATCATGACGATACAAAATAGATTAAAATATTTTCCACTAACTTGTGTAATTTGCAACAGTTCTGGAGAAATTTCATAGAAGAAAGTCCAGAATGTAGGGGGGTCGTAAAATTAAGAGGTATATTATCTACATTATCTTTTTACCATCGACACATTTTCGTTACACTTCTTATCGTTAACTGATAACACCATCTCAAAAGACTAAGCATTGTATAGAGTGCATGTATACATTTCACCGATAACTTACCCACACTTGTCGTTAGAAAACACACATAAACCCTCGGTAGCTGATACAAATTTTAGTAGTTTTTCTTTAGTCGTATGAACGTCAACACTCGCCATGGCTGGAAAAAGTTTAGCCGCGTTTGGCATTCTCTTGACAATATGCTTAATATGGCAAGTATCACAAGTAAATGGAGCCAATATTTTGGGCATCTTTACCAGCCACAGTACCTCACATTTGATTATTCATACGTCGGTGGCTAAAGTTCTGGCAGAAAGGGGACACAATGTCACCATAGTTGCGTCTCAAGAACCCAAAGTTAAGCATGATAAAATAAACACAATCATCATACCACCCAGCGCAGAAGTAGAGGAGTTGATTGGTAAAGCCATGAAAGGAATGGCTACACAGAAAACTACCCTTTTCACTACTATAGGCAACTTTTTCGGTTCTTTGAAACCCATGATCGATATGCAGGCTGACATGCTGAAAGATCCTCGCTTTACAGTTCTCTACGAGAATCCTGATACGAAATTTGATTTAGTTATAATGGGTTATTTCATGAACTCTTTTGTACTTGGTATGGGTGCGAGATTTAAGGCCCCTCTAGCAATCAGTTGGATGGGACCGCCAATGGTTTTAAGTGATGTATTTGTGGGTAATCCAAGTGAAGTATCGTATGTACCCGATATGAATATGTCTGTTAAAGTGGGTGAAAAAATGACATTCTTACAACGTCTACAGAATTTATTTATGAATATGTTTTTGAGACTTATTAAGCAGATGTTGGACATACGCATGCGTAATTTTTACAAGTAAGATAGGGAGTTAAGGTTTTGAATGATAAAGGTTTGTTAATAATTAATGTTTTTTTTTCAATTACAGTGAGCTGTATCCTACTGATGGTTCCTTCCCCACATTAAGTGATATGGAAAAGAATGTTTCTTTGATATTTTGCAATAGCCATTTCACTGAAGGCCCTATTAGACCGAATGTTCCAGCCGTTGTTGAAATTGGTGGTATTCAGGTTAAGGATAAACCTGAACCCTTGCCACAGGTAAGTGTCTTTCAATCAAATAGATTTCACAATTTAAAAGTGATCTTAAGATCAATATTAAAATATACCACTCTTTCAGTTCAATTGGTTTCAATCAATTATTTACAGTTCTCCTATTTTTATGAATTATCATTTGAGAATTCTTTTAATATTTCTTTTAGGACATCGCCAAATTCCTTGATTCTGCCAATGAAACCGGAGCCATACTCTTCAGTTTGGGTTCCAATCTAAAAGGTTCCAGCATTAAACCCGAAACTACCACTCACATATTTAATGTCTTGTCAAAACTAAAGCAGAAAGTTATTTGGAAATGGGAAGATTTGAATAAAACTCCTGGAAAATCGCCCAATATTCTATACAAAAAATGGATGCCACAAGATGATATTTTGGCACATCCCAATCTCAAATTGTTTATCACACATGCCGGTAAAGGTGGTGTAGCAGAGGCTCAATATCATGGTGTTCCCATGGTAGCTTTACCCGTTTTTGCCGATCAGCATGGTAATGCTAAGAAATTAGTGGATGCTGGTTATGGTAAAGATTTGGAATTATTAAAATTAACGGAGGAATCTTTCTATGCCGCCATCATTGAAGTTCTCAATAATCCTCAGTATAAAGAAAATGTACAAACGTTTTCAAAACTTTATCGTGATCGTCCCCTAACAGCACGCGAAAGTGTTGCCTTTTGGGCTGAATATGTGATACGTCATCATGGTGCTGCCCATATGCAAAGTCCTTTGGTGCATATGACAACTATAGAATGTTTAAATTTAGATATTTATTTTCTTTTATCAATGATCTTGTATATCGTTTATAGATTATTAAAACTGTTAGTATTATTTGTAGTTTGTAAATTGTGTAGAAAGTGTTCAAAAACTAGTACAAAGAAGGTCATGAAAACTAATAAGGTTAAATCGCAATAGAATATTAATGTTATGTACAAATTTTAATAAAAATATTATGTACACTCTTATAAATTTGTGTTTAAATTTACACTATTTATTGTAGGTAACCAGACTCCTAGTATTATTAGTGTAAAAATACATATCGATAAGTATTTACAAATTTTAAACCCATTGTATGTAAAAATTCTGAATACAAATTTAATATTTTTACTCACTTATATGCAAAGTATAACAAGTAGTCCGACTCTTTGACAGCAGTACTGATGTTGAAAGTGGAGATACATTTAAAGTGTTTAAAATTGTATACCAAATATTTAAACTTACATGCCTTCAAATTCAAAATATATTACAACAAATATTTGTTTTAAATAATCTTTTATTGAATAGAAATGGTTATTTAGAAAAGTAACAGATTAAATAAATAAAATAATGGTATTCTGGGGTTTGATTAAAACCACCATTATAAAATTAGAATTTGTCCGGTATTATGCCACGGATCTTCGAGAGACATTAATACAACCATATACCTTTTGAGTTTATAGAGTGTTTCAATAAGCTATAATGAATTTCCTTGGAATGATTTGACATGGGGTTGGATCACCACCACATAATCTGGCAGAGTTTCGGTCTTTGTCATACCCCGGTTATTGGAAAGGTCCATTCGGGATGCACGTGTGACGGTTGTTTTTCTCTATGAGTGCGTCGAATGAATGAGAAGTGTGCTGGGTTGAATGGTGGTAGATGAAAGGTATCTTAAACAAGTGATACCATTGAATTTTCTTTCCTTGTCCAGGTATGTGTAGGGTTTACTCCGTTAATTCCAGATTTGCCACAGTATGTTCTCCGAGAATAAGAACAAGTCCTCAGTTTATTTGATGGTTCCAGTTTGTCGACTCTCAACAGAGGCCATCCCGTCTGCGTGGTTTTAAGCGGAAATGATGTTTTTGCATTTCGGAAGTTAAGAAAAGGTGCAGCCATGGTCAGAGATTAGATATGCATGTAGAACCATGATTTCATTTTTCACGCAAAGATATAATATGAAATTTTGATATCATGACTTCGAGAGGAGCTTCATAAATTTTTGTGATAGTTGAAAAATATTGAATATTTTTACATTTATTCATTTTTTTAAACCAACGATATGATATGACATAGAAAGCGCCTCGAACCTTTTTTATCCAGCTCACAGACAAAAAATGTGTAAAATATATGAAAAATGAGAACAAAATGTGAATAAACAATTGAAAATTGGATAAAAAATTACAAATATTATAGTGTAAACATGAAATGTATTTTTCGGATTGATTTTTTGAAAAACCGAATTATTTTCATAATATTTTTAATTTGAAGTGTGGTAATACTCATTATTTTGTTCAATCGGAAATTAATTAATTGATAAAATTCAAAATTTTTGCTGAGACATCCTGTTGGTTTTTGTCAATGATAACTATGAAATACAACACTATTTATTTTCGGAGTAAAACATTAGTATTGGCAACTCTACGTTCTATCTTGACATCAGAGACCTACGCCGGTTCAACTTAAGGCTGACTAAGCCTAGCCGCTGAAAACATTTCAAATCCACCGCTGCTTTTCCGTATGTTAAATCTAAAAAGCTCCTAAAACTAAAAAGTTGTTAAAATTAAAATTTTTGTAACAACAATAATTAATTTCGATTTAGTTTTATATGCTTTTAAAGTCTTCAATTATTTTAAATACACAGAAAAAATAATTCATATTTGGAATGAATTTTGAAATAAATTGAATGAATCGAACATGACTTTTTTTCCCAAACGATTTTCATTCAGAATATTAAAAGTTCATAAAATGTATGAATTTGTACATGAAAGATTTTTTTGTTTTTTTGTTCATTTTCTTTTATTTTCATCAAAAATGCAATAAATAAATAACCGTTACCTATTAATATCTTCCATTTTTTAGAAAATAATCACATATTAGCGTATTTTTATGATAAATAAATAAAAAAGCTGGAAAACAAAATATGAAATAAAAAAACCAGCATATAGCTAAACATCCATTCTTCAGAAAATGCTGCATGTTACGCGCATATTTCATTGTTTTCAATCTAAAAATCATAAAGAAATAAAAAATTTTCTAAAGAAAATTTCAAACATTTTTTAACAAACAGAAAAATATAAAGAAAATTTTTAATATTTTAAGTCAAGGCTCCTAGATTATGTTTAAAAATATAAAAATGAAAAAATTCATACAATTTAGGAACTTATTCTTAAATATTATTAACTTTAGTCAATGAAAGCAGTTCATAATATTTATGCTGAAACTTTTTTCTGTGTATAAATTATAAGATTTAAAATCTTTCATTATTGATGAAATTTACTTCATTTTACTTAATATTTGTTCTGCAGGAAACAAAATACATCCCGTCGGAAACATTTCGTGACCATCGCGTAACAAACTACATGGTTTTACTTGTTATAGATGTAAATGTACCCTAACGCGTACAACGCGTGTTTTATACTACCTCCTTTTGCCGGCTTACAGCCGATTTTAAGCTGCCGCATAACATTTTAGTCTCAGCCGCCGCCTTTATTATTTGTCGACGCAGGTCTCTGCTTGACATGCCGCTATAAACATCTGTCAAAAATTAAGCAAAAAAATACTAACGTTGTAAACAAAACGTTTTAGATTATTTGCAAACAAATATCTATTTAATTTTATAACTCGTAAATAATTTATAAAACAAACTTAACAAAATGTCCGAAAATAAACAAAAGGTAAGTGTAGTTTAGAAAAAACTCAACTAGTAAAATAATAATTTATTTCTATTGCCCACAAAGGGAGGCGGCAACAATGATGGCAAAGAGAAACGACGCAAAGAATCTATTTTGGACTTGTCCAAATATTTGGAAAAACAAATACGCGTAAAATTTGCCGGTGGTCGTGAAGCCTCTGGTATACTTAAAGGTTATGATGCCCTGCTCAACTTAGTATTGGACAATACTATTGAGTATTTGCGTGATCCCGATGAACCTTTCAAACCCTCAGAGGATACCAGAAACTTAGGTCTGGTTGTGTGTCGAGGTACGGCCTTAGTGTTAATATGTCCACAAGACGGTGTTGAGGCTATACCAAATCCTTTTATAACGCAATAATTGTGTTTTATATCACCCTTTTTTTGTTAAGATTAAAATATCTGGCATTTTTTATTTAAATATTTTAACATTTTACCTAAAATTAATAACAATGTTAATAAATAATGTAATTATTTTGATAATGAAAAACAAGTAGTATGTAAAATTTCTTAAAAATACTTGATAAATTACTAATGAAATGTAAAATAATTATTTGTATAAATGAATGAGTATGATTATTTAAATGAATAACGTATTTTATGGATTTCAACATAATAATGCATCCGCTTAATCTAAACCAAATTCATTACGTATCCAGGGATATTGTGCTGGACACTCTTTACAGGTGTAAAAGTAACGATCCTGTTGCAGGACTCGACTTCTCAGCTTGCAAGTATTCGATAGGGTACATACCATCTCATGTTTATCCAACTGTTTTGGTTTACAACCCCAGGCACTGAATTGATGTATATCAGTGTTCGTAGTGGGCTGCCGTATCCATTGTATAGCCTGCTGATTTGTGACAAAATATACGTCCGGCAGTTTTTGTAAATCATCCAAAAATTTCTATAAAGTTGCAGAAAATTTTTTATTTTTTGAATTCAAACAAAGTATAATCATTAAAAAGGAATTTAACATTTTAACTTATTAGAGAATAAATTCAACTAAATTTCACAGTTTTAAGGATTTATTCAGGGAAGAATTGATAATGCTTTAACAGATAATTCAATTAATTACATATTTATTGGGAAATTTACTATTTTGAATCTTATTTCAATTGTGATTTCATTATAATATTGTCACTCACCAAAAATGCATTGAGATAATCAGCCTTTTTGAACCAAGTTGCATGAAAATATAAACCTAAAGGTGCCCGATTTGAAAGATAATGACGTTTGAAATTATGCGTCAACATGCGATAAATATCATCCCCACTCAAATGCGGTGGACAACTATCGATCATTGTACAAGTAAAATCCCCAGCTTCCAATTGATTGATAACAATTTCCCAAATGCCCGGATAACTACGGGATGGACAATTTTGTTGACTGCCGGTGCAAGTGTGGGGCATTTTGTAGTCCAACGTATAGGGCCATAAAGGCGGATTGGAAAAGGGAGCAACCATAGAAGCATCATAGACAAAACCAAATTCTTTCATCATTAAAAATTGACGATTCCAGCCCACTCGCAAGAAAGGAACGCGCATACCTCTTATCTCCTCCATACGTACACTAGCAAAGCGATTTAAAATATTAGCCTGACCCACCATTTCATCGAACCAATCTTCAATGGTGGCATTATGAGACCACCACATTTCAGGACCACGATGACTTAAATTTAAAAAAAATATAAATTAAAATAACGGTTACTTATTAGTCTTCATTTAAAACTTACGTTACTGAATGTACCGCCATTTCATGTCCATCATTCCATAATTTCTGTACGTATTGATAGTTGGTAAACGGATGAGAAACAAAAAATGTTGCCTTTATGGGACAACCATTGGGATTACGTCGGTGTCCTTTAAATAAGACCTGGGAAAACAATTCCCAATTTTCAAAGTTGATGGCATCATCAAAACTCAACAAAATCATTTGTGGCACCGACTGCGGTTCCAAACGTGCCGGTATTTGTGTACCATCTTTAGAGCAATAGCAGTCAGGCAATTTACATTTACGCGGATCACACGAAGCAGCGGCATTTGGATCATTTTCAGCATCACACCAGCCCTCATCCGATTCATCGGGACAATCGACTGAACCATCACAAAAGTATTCATTCGGCAAACAAGTACCATCCCCGCAACCCCAGTGATTTTCTTCCTCACATATGGCTTCATCTAATAAGGGTTTAGGCACTGGAGTTTCTAAAGTGTAAAGAAAACCATAATGTTATCTTATTTTGGAAACCTTCTACTCAAAACCTACCCGCAGTTATATCGCAGTTATCAACATTCTGTTTGAAATCGCATATTTGTCGTACCACATCGAAAAGTAATCCCTCGGAACATTTAAAATTGAATACCTCTCCCTCCAAACACAAATAGTATTTCGAACATTCTGAACTGGTCCATATTTTGTGAACAGCTCTATTCGGATCTCTATAGAAGCGTAAATCTTCCAAACATTCCACGTTATTCGATAAACTTCTCTGCGTATGATTTTGACCACCTATAAGTAGTTGGACGTATTACAAATTAACCAAATTTATTAACATTGATTTATTTTTCCGCAACATTAAAAACGTGGCTCTTCTACTAATGGATACGAAAGTGGCAAACATCAACATCAAAAAGTGGTTTAACCATAATTTTTAATGCATCGTTTAACATAATACGAATTTACATTACAGAAGTACTACAATAATAAAAAATACACTTTGTAATGCATGTGCAAATGCTGCAATCGACGACGAAAGGTGAAATAATACGTGTAGTTATCATAATTGTTATGGTTACAGTGGAGATAACAAAATTCAAAATTTATGAGACTTTATGAAGCCCCAGATATACTCAAGTTTAAATTTTAAACTTTAGAATATAAAAATATGCTTGTAGATCGGTGGTTCTACTTAAAAATTTTCTTTAAAAAACATGTAGGAAAGTAAAGTCGGACATGGCGGACCTACACCATGTTTGAGTATATTTAAACTGTGGTTTATTTTTTATAATTTATGTTGAATTTTACCTTAATTCTCATACATCTATTCCTCCATCCCCTTTACTAATGTCTATGGTGGGGAGCGAACCCACAACCTCCGGCCTGACCGGAGGCACAGATTTGTATTTTTTTTTAATTTCTGCTCAATTCTACTGTAGTTAGTTTTGGTCCATTTATACATTTTAATAATCATACAAACTTACACATACATACGTATTTATGTATGTATTTACATCTAACAATATCAGCAATGGGCATAGTATAAATTATATAAATATTTTTGCATCCTTTGAATTACCTAATAATGATAGACTAAGGGCTTCTGAATCGAGATGTGATTTAAAATATTTCTACCACATAAAAAAAATCCGAACACGGTCCGTGATGATGATTCCTTAATTATTGTTTTTACTATAGGAATATTTCGGATAATTTATGTAAAATATCAATATATCGATGAATACTCCTTACAACCACTTGAATATACATATGTACCCAGCAAAAAGTTACAAGACAACGATGTTGTTTAATCAGAGGTGCAATTGATGACGAAGTGGTTCGATTTAGGTGAAACATGCATGATTTTAACATTAGCGTGTCATTGGAGATCATGTGTTTATGCGAAAATTTTGAATAATTGAACCAATACAAATTCGATGATTCGAAAACGATGTTTCATTGGTTCAAGCTATTTCTTTTGTATGTATTTTTGGAAGATATTTTAAATGTTTTTAATAAAATAATAATAAAAATTATTTCTAATAACACATAAATCTCATTATTAAATTAACCATCTGAATTAATTTTTTAAGTTTTAAAGAAATTTTTTGACTGCGGAATAGGTTGAATTTAGGAAGTCATTTAGAATGAGTTGTATTTTCTTTGCACTACTGCAAAATTTTTTTTCTGGGATATGTGTATGTATTTGAAGTTTTGTCGCAGCTGTAGTTATTGAGTTTATCGATAACGAACAAACATTACTCTTTTATTCATATACATATGTAGATTTTTTCAAATTATTTTGAATTTTGAATGCCTATTACTTCCAGATAAAACCAAACTTGATCTTGAATATTTCACGCTTTAAATTTTTAAAAGTTGAAACCAGGGTTAATAACATTTCAGAATAGCGATGTGCCAGAAAAAATGGAAAACAGTACACTTTGTGTTAACATATTCAATTTTATTATTTTTTCATTTTTATACCCACCATACCCAAGTTGGGGGGGATTATGTCATTTGTAACACATCGAAATATTGGTTATAGACCCACAAAAGTATATGTATTCTGGGTCCTTATTAAATTCAAAGACGATCTAGAACTGTATGTCCGACCGTCTGTCTGTTGAAAGCACGATAGAGTCCAAACGGAATGAGCTAGAAGATTGAAATTTTCCTCAAATATATTCTAGGTTTGTTTGGTATTGAATATCGGTTCAATGGAGAAAAAATCTCTCTATCAAGTTTTATGTGGATCGCTCCATGGTTGACCATACCCCCCATATAAGGCCCCTTTCAAAAAATGACATTAACGCTCATTACTGACTTAAAAATACTAGTATAGCAATGAAATTTGACATAAATAAGTCTCTTATTTGAAACCTCCCTACCAAATTTTATGTGGATCAGTCCATAATTGACCCTAGCCCCCATATAAGGTTCCATCCAAAAAATGATTATAACACTCATTACTGGCTTAAAAATACGAATATAGCGATGCAGTTCGACGATCTAACAAAAATTTTATAAAAATCGGCCAATAATAAACCCTATCTCTCATATAAAGACCTCTTCAGTTAATTTGATGAGTAATTTCACCCTGAAATTTATAGGGAAGCATTCCTTTTACGGCATACGGTTTGATGGTGGGTATATGAGATTCGGCACAGCCGAATATAACACTCTCACTTGTTAAAGCTGTCAATTTATTTATTAGTAATCAAAGGTAGCCCAAAAATATTCAATTTGGACTCATTTTTGCTGATTAGGTAGATAGCATTTTTTTTTGTCTATGTACCGGTACATACAATTTTCAACTTGTGCCCACTACTGATCCATATGTATTTATTAGGGTGATCGACTCGATTTTTCAACCGGTTTTAAAACCGGTTTTTTCTGCTTTACCAGTGTCGGTTTTTTCTTAATGTTGATTTTTCGAATATCGAATAACCGGTTTTTTCACTTTTTAAAAACCGGTTTCGAATACTTTTATTTGCTTTGTATTCAAAGATTATTTAAATGAAATTTTTAAGTAAATAATAATACAGCCCGCCTAAATTTTAAAAATATTCGAGTCGAGTAACTAGCGTATATTTTTCTAAAGCTCCTTTGGTTAAACTTTTTTGATTTTCCTAATTAATTAAAAAAATTTATTTGTAAAATTGATAACTGTTTGATAAACTTTTATCAATCTTAAGATTATATTCCAATTACAATAATTAATTTACGGCTGAAATTTTATGGAAGTGTTGGAATGCCTATGCAAATTTCCTAAACAGGG